GGTATAAGGCTGATCACGGCTTGCCCAAGCTTGACCCCGGGGCCCGGTATTGACCCGAAAGTTCCGTTTTCTTCTGTTTCCCTCTGAGCGGCCTACTCCGCTGCCGCCTCTCAGGGCCGGAGCAGCGGGGGTTTGGTTTGCGGGGTGTCTCTGTACCGCCGTGAGGCACGGCAGGCAGAGGAGCAGCAATGAGTAATTAATACGGTGTCCAAAGGTTAGCGGCAAATGTACACGCTCCTCTTGGTGTTAATAAGATTCTCTCTTACAGAGCACGAATATTTGGATTAAATATCGGTAACTTTTTCGAGGCTTTTTGTTCTCCGTTTTCGTGATTGCATCTTTTTTCCCCATATTTATTCACTGATGTCTGCAATCTGAGGGAAGACTTCATCCTCATTCAGTCTGGATCTGCTTACCTCTTTGCTAGACTGGGAAGCAAGCAATGTGCTAACCAACCTCAATAAATGGTTGGTTAAGTTAAAAAAAAAAATCCCGGTTTATCAATTATTTATTGACCATCCATGCTTCTGCTTGTAATTTACAGTGTCTTATGTTTGCCTTATTTGTTTTTTTATGTTTCTTTAAAGTACAATAAAGAATGTTCGGAGTTCGGCTTTGGTTTCTTACTAGCTTTATGCATACATAAGTTTCTTTAAATGCTTTGTCATAGTTTTATGAGGCATGATTTTCATGTTATTACTTGCTTCTGTGGAACCACAGGATAATGCTGCAATAGTTAGCATCCAGTAGTTACACCAAAAAAGATAAGAACTACTTAAATCAGATTATATATATATATATATAACATGATATGTATGTTAATCTGTGTCAGTGACCGAATTCATGGCTGCAGCTCACAGAAGTGCACGTATGTCACTTCAGCCCTTAATCTTACAGGGTCTCCCACAGTAGCTGGAGGTCTTGATGAAAACCTAATACGTAGAAAGAAATAACATTAGTTTTATCATCAAAATACAGTCCATTAAATCCAACTTTAGAGCTTCTTCTCTCACGTTTTAAATGTTGTGGCTTCACGATACAAAGTGCTGGTTCAGTGTGAACTCACTTAGCTGTTTCAAAGCTGTTCAGGTAACTTTGATGGGATCACTTCAACCAGGAGTGCTGCGTTACCAGAAGTTCTGTGTATATTATGTGACAGCACACCTCAGAAAGCTAACTTGCAAGGATAACTTGGCCTGGGTAAACTTGTCTTGAGGAGGAATTTTAAAGGTTGGAGTCTTAGATCCGAGAGCTGGGAAGGAGGCAGTGAGCCATACAAAATAATCGATGTAGAGCAAAGTATATTTAAAGCTTCTGTTCTGATGTGTTTGCTCTTTCTGTCCCTCATAAACTGTTAACCTGCAAGGACAGTGCGGAGGGGAATTCAGAACTGATACACTTCATACAGTGAAAGACTCATTACAGGAAGGTGTTAGTCAAAACACAAGAGTCTTTCTATTCAATAACAACTCACTATTCTTTTAATGTTGAAACGTTGACTGACTTGCGTTTCAGAGTTTGTTGATTGGTCCTTCTGGTCGTAGGATGAGATTTTCATGAGAACTGAAGAAATCTGTATTGCCTACTACATTCGTAACCATTCAGGCACGGGTTGTTGCAGTTGGACACTTGAGTTGTATTCCAGAGCCACCTAAATTGATGTAAGCTGTACTGTTGCACTTCTCTGCTCTTATAATTGTTATGCCACCACTAGTGCCGGTTGTGACTGCACATTAAACTGGGTCGGATAATTAATCTGGCTGTGGGAGGGGGGGGGAAAAGCACCAATTCAGTTTCTTGACTGGGTCTTCTCATCCAGTACAAGGGAAAGGGTAGGAACACTCAGCTGCCGTGCAGGGGAGAGTGTTCCTTGCACTTAAATTGACCACCGTGGAGCTGCACCCTTACATTTTCGGTTTTACATTGTATTCAATCTAGTAGTGACAGTCTACTGCCAAAAGCCTTCCTTTATCTTCCGTGCATGCTCATCTGATGCTTTCTTTAAGAACTGTGCAACCACAGGCGGTTTATTGGTAGCTTAGTATTTGTTAGATCCTAAAGAGCAACTAGAAGAACACATTTATCCTCTGCTATACTTAGTGGAGCAGTCCAGGAAGCTTTTTCTTAAAGAGTTATTGGTGCTTTCCCTCGCACCAGTATGCCAGACAGTATTTTGCTGTTTGAAATAATCTGTCTTAAAGTACGTCTGTTATATCTAGCTTTTCCTCCGCTTCTATTTACTGAGCTGGTAAATGGCTATAAGGCAAACAGTCATTTTCAAATTTTAATTTTTAAATGCTGCTGTTATGGAATCTAATGTCAAAAAGCAGGAGGATATTTGAAAACTTTCTTCAGGAAAGAAGTTTTGTTTCTTTCCAACGTGTCTTGTTTGTAAAGGTGCTTTTTCTTCTGGCTCTCAAATCTTTTTTTTTTTTTCTTTCTTTTTCTGAATCAAATGAGACTGAGGGGGTGTTAGTTTTTTTCACATCAGTAATATTCAGCTAGTCGGTATCTGACTTGTGTAATTCTGCACAGTGAAAAATGTTGGCAGGAGAAACTGCCAATTTTGTAGCATTATATAAAATGAGAGCTTGTTTTTCAAGCACAGAGATGTCATTTGTGACTCTCATCTTCATAGAGTAGTAGATACAACTCCGGTTTCAGTGAACACATGCATTAATTCTGTTTTGATGTTGATATCAAGCAGGCTTGTCAATGTACAAATTGAAATAAGATTAATATCACTTACATTTTGGCGATATTTGTGCTTGCGTGTACCTTCTGAACAGGGTGGAGGAGGATTGTTTTTTGTTTCAATAACTGTAAAAATAAATTGGTCGGTGTAAGAGAGGACGCTTGATCTTCCAAGGAGGAAATCAAAGTGGTGACGTGGCAGTTCTTAGTTCTGACATCGCTCCTATAAAATCACCTCCAAAATAAATCGGTAGTCAGGTTAGAATTGAATATGGTTACAGAAGGTACCATGTTTCCGCAGGAAGATGATCTCTGAGGGAATGTGATCTGATACTAGGTGTTACAGTTCCTGAAGATGCAAAGTGGCACTGCTGCTGAAGTGCTCGAGACAGATGTCTCTGCTTCATCGTACCCAATGTTAACTGGCTGCATGTTAGGGTCTTTAGATGATGGGTTCCCTCCCACGGGCGGATTGTTCCACCTCTTTCTTTTTGCTGCTTACGGAGAGGGCTTAAGCAACCAGTTTACACTTGTAAGCTGCAGTTATGCAGCAGAGGGTAGAGTCATTTTGCTTTTGCCAGAGTCGTCAGAGTTGCACTCTCAGTGGTCTGCGCGGCGTGTTAGAGGTGTGCAAGATGCTTCAGGTGTTTAATATGAAATCTTAAACCAAAAGAAGGCAGCTTGATGAAGACAAAAAGCAGCCAGTAAAGTTAAGAGTAGGTACATCTGTGGATAAAAGTGCATGTATTTCGGATGCCAGTAATCTGTTGAACTTGTAAATAACAGTGTTTATTTAACAAAGCTCTTAAACAGCGAGTATATTCATGCTGTTGCTCTGAGACTGCTTTTCTCAATGTACAGAAAACATCAATAACTGCAATATGTTGGAGTTGCGCCTCGTGGATACAGATAATATGGAAATGTGGCAGCTGGGTAGTCAGTGCGAATGGGTGTGTCTGTAGACAAAGTGAGTGGGTGCTGTTGTGTTTTGTTGGTATAACTTCATTTTTACTGGGTGAATGTTCTGAAATTGGATAACCACAGACTTGATGTAACTAACATTTTCAGTGAGTATTCACCTTATTACTTAACATGCATTAAAACTCCTGAGTTCACTCAAAGGAAACTAATGAAAGGGCTAAATATATTAGATAACGTTTTAAAAAAAAAAAAGTATTTTTTTACACTGAGAAAAATCTGCTAGGTAACATGGTGGCAGCTTTAAAAATTGTTTCATTAACCTGTATCAAAATCATATAGGTTTCAAATGCAGGCTTCTAAATAAATTGAAAGACTGGCTAATCCTAGTTTGTTTTATTTTTCAGGCTTTAGAAAGGATGCGTCCTTACCTGTGTGATAAAATCATAGCTGAGAGACACTTCGATTACCTACGTTCAAAGAAAATACTCACTAGAGAGGACACAGAAGAAATTTCTTCTCGATCTTCCAGTAGGAAAAAAACTGGGAAGTTATTGGACTACTTAGCAGAAAACCCAAAGGGACTGGATGCTTTGATTGAATCTATCAGGCGAGAAAGAACGCAAAACTTCCTGTTACAAAAGATAACTGACGTAGTGTTGAAAGTCAAAAATGAAAAACTTGAAGCTCTTAAGGGTGAGAAGTTTATAATAATATTTTGTAAGACATAGGTTTTATTTTAAGGGTCTGCAAAATTAAACTCCAACAATTCTTTAAATCATGTTTCTTAGTACAGATTTTTTTTTTTTTCTTCCTCTAGTGTTTGGGACAACGTTCCTGGAAATATCACCTGTTTGGGATTAAGATCCTAGTGCATGTATCCTGGCTTTGCCTTTTTGCTATCTGAACACATCATAAATAACAAATTGCAAAAAAACCTGTCATGAGTTGTTATGATGGATAAGTCTGTTGTCACATTTCAGTTTTGCTTTCTATGAGGTTCTAATTCAGAACTCAAAACAGGTGGTTATCTTCCATCTTGCATTTCTCTTGGAGCTATTTACTGCAGTGGCAGGATGTTCTGGTTTTGTTAAACTTTGCACCTCAGCAGAAGATAAGCCAGCAAATGCAACCTGAGGGGAATTCTCCTGTATGCCTTCAATGCCAAAACTTAAAATTGGGCACTGTAAATGTATGCATGTGTTGCATCATACAGGTAGAGAGGTTTTGTTGACACACAAAGCTTGAAGTGACTACATGTACTCATATTTTAAGGCAGATAAAGAACGTGTAAGCCTTCTAAACCAAAAACCTTACTTCCCTTTCCACGCGCATCAAAAGAGAAATAAAGAAGGAAGAAGTACATTTTAACCCTAGAGATGAAAGGCCTGAAGTTTTCTCTGCCTTCAGGTACAACAGCCTTCACATGCAGTCCGCTTTGGAGTAGACCCATGTAGCTGAAGCTTTTAAAAGTTTGAAGAACACAGTGAGAAAAATCTTATCAAAAGATAGGTCAAAGGGCTAAAGTGACTTCCTAAAATGGGGCTTGAATTACGGTGCATCTTTGTCAAATAGTAGCCGATACAGAAAAATCATTCACATCAGCCTAGATAACCTGCATGTATTTTTTAATTTGTCATGAATATTGGGATGTCACAGGTGAGATGAAGAGGTTGGTCTGTTAAAAATACAGACAATTGATCTTTGACAGTCTTGCTGATATTAAATCAGAACACAGTTTGAAGAGTGCACCATATTGTAATTAAATCCAGTCTCTGTTTTTTGTCTTAGGTCTAAGCTGCAGCACCTGTATGACCACACTCTATGGAGGAACAAATAATCTTTCTAGATCGTATTCTGATGAATCTAATTTTTTTGATAAAACAAAAGACAAAGAATCTGCCCAGATACATCATCCGGAAGAAGATTATAGCACTGCCGCCTTTGTGTCTGCTGTCTCTCTTCATTCAATGAATTTACCAATTGCAGAGATGGGAAATGCAGAGAGTGCTATTTTCTCAGCCACCCTTCCAGGGCCTGGAGACCCCGGTGCACCCCCTCTCCCCCCGGAGCTCCAGTCAGAGCAGCAAGAACCGTGTACTAGTTCAAGTGACAATTGCTTTTTGCCTTTAAGATCACGTTCTCTTCAACCATAGTGAATGTAGTGACTTTTGTCTGTTCAACCAAACGGTACTGAAACTGTGTGATGTCTTATAAGGGTTAAAAAAGTGTTTTCAAACTGCTAGCTAGCAAAATCGGAGGAAACAATCTATGCTATTTACTGTTTTTAAGGAGTAATTTTTTTTGTAATTGGGTGACTCTGGAGCTGCTTGATTTTATGTTCTTTAAGGAGCTTTCTTCAAAAGATCGTGGTACTACACCAGCGAAGGTTTGTTTTTTAAACGGGTATATTTCAGATTTCACATTTAGTTGCAGATATTTAAGCTGCAGTTATAGAACAAATGAATTGGGAAAGATGGCTAGGAAAAGTATTGAGTATTGAAAAATAACTTCCTGAACTAAAAGCTTAAGCGCACTTACCAAAAAGCTTAAACTCATTTACCAAATTAAATGTTTCTCTGTAGGATAAATTCTGCCCTCTATGTATGTGTGTGCAGCTCCATTTGCAAAAAACAAACAAACAAAAAAACCCCAAAAAACCCCCAAACCAAACCCAAAACAATCTGGCCAAATCTGTAGCTATACTTATTTGCAAGAAGTCTCTTAATTGTCTGAACTTTGTTCTCTGTCCTACCAGTAAATCAAAAGGCACTCGCTATCGCGGTGATTTGGGTTAGCAAATATACTTCCACAAGCCTTAGCATAGTATTCTTGTGTATTAGTTAGAGATTCCTGATTTGAGATGCACTTTAAATATAAATTCTCATTAGTACTGCAAAAGGAATGTAAACTGCTGCAGCAGCATCATGTGAGCGGTAAGAGAATGTTATTGTATAATGCTATTAAGGAGCAAAGCTTGTATGTTTTGTCCCGGTAGGTAAGTAGAGGAGGAGTCCTGTAGCAAGAAAGTATCCATAACTGAAGGACTCTTGGAAATGTTGCACTTCAGATACCTACTCTTCAAAGCAGATAGACAGGTTTACATTTCGAATTGTTCAGTCTTAAATGCATTTAAAACTATTTCAACATGGGAAGGTTCTCGTTTCTTGACACAATGTGACATGCTGTGCTCCTCTCATACTCTACTCTTGAGTTGTAATCTACTTTTTATGAAGTTGCCCTATAATCACTTTAAAATTACTAGGCAAAGACAAACTCCTACTTGGAAAAGTGTACAGTTGTGTTCTGCAGTACTACACTTTAAAGTGATGGGATTTTTTTCAGTATATCGAAGGGCAGGTTTGTATTTAAGTCTTTAAATTATTTTGGTTCTCATGCAGCGCTATAGCCGTGTAATTCCATTCAGATTCAAACCCAGGTAATAGTCAAACTGTTCTCATTTTGTGGAGACAGGCCATCTGCAGGACCTCAATGTCATCTCTAAACTTTTTTTTTTCATGTTTACTCTGGTTTTGGAAGTAGGTTAAAATAAACTGCAGTGTTCAACTACACTCCACACTTAGTCCATGAATAGCTTACATTCGGCAAAGATACGGGCTTCTGTCCAGTGTTTATAAAGTCCTTGGTTTTCTTGTATACATCTAAGGTCACAGACTGTCAGGATGGTGGAAAATGCTTTTGACAAAACTGCTTGGTTCAGAAGGCACTCTGGAAGTTAAGTGCCTAAATATGCAAGTAAAATTTTGCTCTCTAACATGAAATTAAGGGTTTCTTCCATTAACTTGAACTGTAGTTGCATGTACGTGGGATGTCTGACAATTTATTTTTCTTAATGCCCGCTGTAACCACTTCAAGAGCTGTGCTTAGGTTTGGGTCCCTTCTTGGATTCTTGTTAAACGGAGGAAGGTGAGCAAGCTTGGCCTTAACTGGAAAGGAGCATCAGCTCAGGGTGAAGACAGCCTTGCAGGTCTAAGTCGGAACGCGCGAGGCGTGCTGCCTGCCCCACGGCGCGCCGCCCAGCCTGCAGGAAGCCTACCCGTGCAGGGACCGCTCCTGCAGTGGAGCCTATTAACCCGAGACTTTAAATGAATGTATTATCTTACCAAATGTTTATAACATGCTTTTTTTTTTTTTAAACCTTGAACTATTTTTATCACAACTTTTGGAATAAATTCTTTTGTATAATTGCCTGTTTTCCTGTCTGCCCCTCTCATTATTAAAATGTATAGGTTGTAAGTGCCGTTCAGGCCAGCGTCTGGTTTTGGTTTTGCTGGTGGGGGAGGCTTTTGTTCTCATTGTCTTGTTAGAGAGGTTTGTCTTTGGTGGAAAGGCTGACTTAATGTGAAGCACCTGCGCCCGTAGGCCTGCATTCAGGAGCTGTGGATAGGGAAAGCCTGCAGGTGAAATTAAGGCCTAAGTAAGTGCTTAACTACACTCTCTGTGGTTCATGGCTAGTCGTATTGCTAACCTGATTCTTGCTCTTTTTCAAATGACTCCATCGCTCAACTTCTTAAAGATGTGAGAAGCGTTGCTTCCAGCCATGCATATATTGACTTCATTCTTAAATTCAGATTTTCATTTTTTTTAATAGTGGGGGAGAAACAAAACCTTTGAGTACTGAGGAGTACTCAAAAAAGGATTTGCAGATGGTGCAGGGACCGTGGAGCCTTGCTTCGGCGGTTCTTTTCATCGTACTTTGTGTACTTTCACAAGAATGATTATAGTCTTGATTATGAGAGATCAGCGGGACCCAGTTCAGTATCTTTGCAATTAAAGGAATTGATTGTATTATAACCAAAGGCCCACCCTTAGACCTTATCCTGCTTCCTCGGTAGTGTAAGTAACCTGAACAGCGCCAGTAAGTATTGTAGCTGATGCAAAACCAGACGTACGGGCCCTGTGGACAAGGGAAGCCTAGTACAAACTTTTCCCAACAGATTTCAAAAATCCGTTCTGGCGAAGGTAGCCTACGTGGCCGCTTACGCTAGTACTTGGACAAGCACCGTTCGAAGCTTTTATCTGCCCTCGTTCTCTCTCCTGAGGCCTTGCAGGTGTGAAAAAAGGAGAAACGGAGGTCGGCTCAGTTTCGTGTCTGATTTTCTGTATCTGTCTGTGGCCGCTGAGGGGGAGACACCCCCCGAGGCGCTGGGGGTGACCCCCGCACGCCCAGGGCGGGCGCGGGGGGGCCGGCTTT